AAAAAAAAGATCCATTGCATCTCAATTAATTGACCAATGTATAAAATTTTATATATTTTACAACACTCAAAAAATTAATTTAGAACAAAAATTGATAAAAAATAAAATAATTTTATCAACCTAACATTAACTTACATTATTAAAATTTCTGGAAAAAAAGTAGGATTGTTTATCATATATATATATATATATTAATAATGGAATCTCTATAAATGAAAAAAAAAAATAATTGATATGGTTATGATATATTTCTATAAATTTACTTCCCAATGAAACTTCAAAATCTATATATTACTTTACTTTAAATAATTGACATAAAAATCAATTTTATTGCCCTAATTAAAATGGTTAAAATAAGAATGAGTAATTTAAATTCAAATGTTAAATAAATGTAAAATCAGAAGAAAGAATATACATAGGTACAATATTTTAATGGGTCCATAAAAAATATAGTTTTACTTATCAAATTAACAAAGAGTGCAATTATATTAATTTTTAAGACATGATCGTTACAACTTTTATTAAATATTTGAATATTAATTACAAAAGCACAAACAAAATGATAAGTGAAATACTAAAAATAACTTTAAATGGACGGGAAAAGGTAAGCTATTGCATTAATATAATAGCCTACAATTATATATATATATATATAGATATTCCGAAAATATGAATACATAATAATTTTGTAATTTATGTATATTTATATTTATGTATATTTATATATCATAATTCAGTTTCATATATATAAAGATGGGCTATTCAATTATTGCAAAATATAAAAAGTTCTCCTCCACTTCCTTAGCTACTTATGGTAGGAACCGTACAATTATTTTAATTAAATGTAATTATTATTTTTTCTGTTAAATTTTATAATAATTAACTAATCATAATTCACACTAATTACATAAGTATCAAAAATTCGATTGCGAATTTTCTTTCTTCAAGCTTTTTTAAGCTCAATATCGTTTTTTTTTGTATATTGTATCTCATGAAGCTAATTAGTTTTAATAGCATAGTCAAACCATCTTTAAATCTTATAAACAATTGTTCCTATAATAATTATAACAATAATTTTTAATTAAATTAATTGGTCATGATTTATCAAAATTATAAAATTTCATATATATTGTTTTTATTTTTAGTAATGATCAAATTTTGAAAATGTGATATGTCTCTTTTAAACATTAAATTCATTCACATAATTAATAATATTTTATTGACATTTGTGCATGTTCACTAATTTAGTTTACAATGTTTTCTAAAAGTATGATAATTAATTTAAAAACTATGTTCCTCGGATAATTAAGGGGCCGATTGGATTAGATTGTATAGTAAAAAAATCAAATTTAACTCAACCTCACTATCTTCAATATTATCAATATAATTAAATAATATCAAGCAATCATTCTTACATATTGCATCAACTTTAATTCACTATTCATCCACTCACATAATTTTAACTAACCATCACTTCCAATCATTTTCTCTTACTTTTAAATCAAATCAACTTTTATTTTTTCATTTTAAATATTATTTTTTATATCCACTAACAACTAATCATATCACTTTTTTTTCAAACTTAACTATAATTTAGAAAAACAAATTTTTTATTTGTTGAATTCATATCCAATAACCCTTTAAGTTTACCTTACATTAGTCTTGTGAAACAAAACAGAAAATAAAAGAAGATTTTTTGCAACATCATGCTTTGTAAGGAGCATGCATAATGTAAAAATTGAATATATGGGTATTTATTTTTTTCTTGTTAAATACTACGTACAATCGATAGTGAATAGCTAATAGAGTAATAATTATTTAAAATGACGCGTTTTTTACACTCAAATTGTGAAAAATAATAATTATTTGAGTTGCATTCATTATATTTCAGTTAAATATTCAATCATTGAAAACATAAATTAATGTTCATCAATCTAACATTTACATGAATTTATGAATTATGATTAATAGTTTTATTATTTTAAATTTAATATTGACTTATATTTTTTATTTTTAATACTATAATAATGTCCAATCCTTTGTATATTTTATTTAAGTGGAGACATAAGATTTAAAATTTTGTTCATATTCATTCTATATTTATACTTAACCTCTGCACATTTTTTTCTTAAGACTATATAAAATAAAAATATTTTAGGATATATTATCTAAATAACATATTAAGATAATATATAGTTTCATTGTATGTTTTTTTTTTTTTAATTTGGTATGACAAATAAATTTAATTTATTTATAAAGGTAGTTGAAATTAATTTTAAATTTGTATATGTAATATGAATGTCAAATCGAAAATGGTCAAAAGATTATTATTAGTTGATAAATCATGTATATCTGAAAAATGAAATACATATAACATCAATTTTGTAAAACGGGTATTAATTCTTAAATTCAATTGGCAACTTTAATTGTCAAATGTCTCTCTCTGTGTGTAAAATAGATGGTTTAGGTTTAGTTTCAGAATAAAAACGAACAATAAAACATCAAACTTACCAAGCCTTTGCTTGTTCTTTAATTTCATAGTGCTTTGGTCTTGACATTTTTTCTGTTTATCGAATTTAATCCGGTCACATCTTTGTATCGTAGAAAACATATGTTCATATGGAACAAATCCATTTGAGCGAGACTATGTTCCACATCCTTCCATATTAATTTTATATCCATCTTAATTTTTATTTCCAATGTAAAATTCCATAAAAAAAAAAATAAAAAATAAAAAATTATACGGAACATATGTTCATATGGAACAAATCCATTTGAAGGTGACTATGTTCCACATGTTTCGATATTAATTTTCTATCCATCTTAATTTTTATTTCCAATGTAAAATTCCATAAAAAAAAAAATTGTAAGGTTGTTTGACATGTTTATAAGATAGTCATAACATCAAATGATTGCATAAATTGGAGGGTAGCGTGAGATAATAGTATAGTTTGGACGAATTAAAAATTAAATATTCTACTCACATAATGCATTACTTTTCATTTAAAATCTATAAGAAAGGGGAAAAAGTCAAAAGTCAAGACCATGCGACGGCCGGAGTGGTACAGAATTAGGCGAGATGCGGTTTGCGGGGTCCACCCGGTGTTTTTAACAACCAATCATAATTAGCCACCTCTATGAATGGAGGTGGTACCACGTTTGGTTTTTGAGTGTTAGTTCTAGGATAATGAAAAAAACAAAAATAAAAATCAGAGTCAACATGTAATAGTTACATTTTACTTAAGACGAAATTTTTTCGTAAAATACTTACAATTAATGACAAATGTCTTTGAGATACGATTTTTGACTTGTATATAGTAGTATTTCAAATATATAAGTTTTCGACGAACAATACTATTGTTCAGAACTCTCAAGACTCAACGAAAAAAATCAAAGAACACAATATGCTATATAATTTTTAAAACAGATTCAATATCTCTTAATTTTCAAGTTATATACGAATGATTTCATGTTTGTGGGTATTTATAAATGTAAGAAAATACCTCCAAGATGTTTAAGTGTCAAAAGACGCTTTTTGGGACGTGCCTGAACGAGAACACATCTAGAGACCAAAAGACACCTTATGATCACCAAGGTTGCGACCCTCCGCTGGCCGCGGCCATCTGCGCGACCATGCGTCGTGGGCTCGTACGAGCTCATCAGAACTCAGAATCGAGTTCCATTTTTTCCTACTCGTCCCCAACGAATCCTTCTATAGTTATAGCATGCAAGTTGCATGATCAGGTCTTACTTGAATTATCCTAACATTCGTCAAAGACAGAATGTTTTGTAAATCCAATAATTTGAGTTAGTTAATCTCAATTATTGTTTCAACCTTACATTTCTCACGTATACAACTTAGAATTAATTTTCCATTCACCTTATAATAGTTTTGAGGGTTTTTTAAGTCTTCCACTTAGTAAAAATGAAACCGTAAAATTGTTACAACACTAATCTATCTATATAAAATAAGAATAAAGTAAATCAGTTTTTGAAATAATTTTCCGCCAAAATCACTAGTTACATACTAAAAAGGGTAAGTTTTATATTATTTTTAAGTGTTTT